TAAAATACACAGTGCCTGGGAAGCAACCCTGGGGTGAGCTGCAGGCTGAAGAGCAGTGTCAGAACCAGATAAGCCGACACAAACACATCTCTCCCTCTTGGTGGCAAAGGCAGGGGATGGTGCTCCCTTGGGTGCAGCTTCCCAAGGAGCTCCAGTGCCTGTCCCTTGGGAGCCCCTCTGGAATTCAGCTCGGGCTGCTCCATCCTGGATCTTCCAACAAGCTCCTCTCCCTCTTGGACTGCTTCCAGTCACCCCTTGGGACTGACTGGACTCGAGGCACGTGGGTTGAGCACTTGGGGTTTGGGTTTGGGGCTGTCTCCAGCTTGCTTGAAGGAGTCTCAGTTTAATTAAGGTATAGTGCCTTGAGTAAAAATGATTGACTGCATTCCAAGCCTGGTTTATGACTTCTATAGTAGCTTTAGGGAGATGGATAAAGTACCTAATGCTGATCATGCTGCTCAGCCTCTCTCCATTTCAGATGGGAGTTTGGGAGCACGTTGCATCACCCAGCTCTGGGCATTTATTGTTCTCTTAAAAGACTGTGAAAGTCCATGTGCAGTGTCACAGCTCCACAGCAAAGGTCATGTTTTCCTTCTCACGAAGAAGCAGGGAGTCCAGCTGGAACATACAGCTCCAGGGTGTGTGGTGACATCCACAAAAGTAGATAAAAATGAAATAATTACTCTTACATTTACATTCTAAGGGCCTCTGAGGACTATAAATCTGTACACTGCAAACAAAACTTTCCCTGGATCAAGATCAGCACATTATCTAATTGAAAGGGATCACCTTTTTAAACTGAATTTGTATGACTTCTTAGTGGGTTTTTAGCTTCTGCATTTTTTCTAATTTTTTGGCATGAGAATCAAATGGATTTTAATTTTGATAACTTTGCTCCATTTTGGATTGTAAATTGCTTGTGTTGAGTTAGGAACAAATGCCTTGGTTATATCTTATGAAAATCGTTTTGCTGATGAAAAGCACTTTGTAAGCATTTTAGAGCAAACCATTGGAAAGCACCCATTGATCTTGAATAGTTTTGATACAGACATTTAATTTAGGATCATTTCAGAATGGTGTAAAGGTACTGGTCTTTTGAAGAAGAACTCTGGGGATGTTCCTCCCTGTGCAGGAGGCAGGTAAAGAGCTACAGTGGACATCAGCTGCTTACCCAGAGTGATTTGGCATGGGTGCTGTTCTCTAGTCAAGAATTGCTAAAACAAGATTTCAGGAAATGTGTTGTGGAGAGAGGAGTGGTTGTCATTAAACACAGGCTTCTAATTTTGCTGCAGATCATGGCCTAATAATGATTTCTGATCTCAAGCCTCAGTGTTGCATAACACCTTCATAGGTGACTGTCCCTCTTTGAACCATGGAGATACTACCTAATCCCATGATGTGGCTTCACAGTATGGAAATAAAACTCAGTTCTGGCAGTAAGTGCATGCCTGTATCCAGAATAATTTTTTCCTTCCAGAGGCTGGGACCCATCCAGTGTGGTGGCAGGGATGGCTGGAGAGCCAGGCTTGATGGCAGAGCTCCACTGATAAAAGCAGGAGCTGCAAAGGAGCAGCAAAGCTTGACTCTGCTCATTACATGGAAGGAAAGATTCACTTCCCTGGGTGTGTTCCTGGCATGGGCACAGCCTCTGGTTTAGTAGTTTAATATTCTCACTCCCCCTCCTCTGAAGCCTAGGATGAATTACAGCCTTGTAATTCAGGCATCTCTTATTTATGCAGTTTCAAATGCAGAAAGAACCTTGTTCAAAAGCTGTCATTAAAAACCCCACCCTTTTGTTTCAATGATGAGATGTTTATGACAGTCTGGACTAGCTACTTTCTAAAGTGTCCAGGGTTCAAATGAAATATCACCCTCCCATAAATCTCACACACCTCATGGGTGCTGTAAAGTCAACTGCACTGACACTGTCACATGGTAATTTCCCAAGCAGGTAGGGAGTTTTCAGCACCAAAATTTGGTAATATGGGTGAATACAGATGAGAGGAGATGTGGGTGTGTGCTGAGGAGTGGTGGCTTGCAGATCTCTGACCCACAATATAGGGCAGTGTGCGTGAGCTCTGCATGGGACATATGCTCTGGGGTTTCACGGATGAATTTGTAGTTCCAGCAATTTGCAGCTTCCACCGTGGTTTCAAATATCTACATCGTTTTCAGGCTGGTGATTTTTCCCAGTCATTTATCCCAAAAGCATTTCATCCTGCTTAATCTGGGTCATAATTGACATGGGACTTGTGCCGAAGCAGACACGGCCGTAAGTTGTGTTTGAGTGGGCCGCTAATGGCAGGGGTTTAGTTACGTGCAGTAAAACACAGCAGAGGTTGGAACAAGTAGAAATGTTAAAATAACAGATGAATGCAGGGTCACAGTCACAACTTGGACCCAGAAAAGACTCTTGAGCACTTGACATGCTCCTGCTGTCAGCTCACAGCTGCCTTTGGCTCTCCCGAAGGCGTGAAGTTGGAAATTTCGGGTGAGGAAGCTGTTGGAATTGGATCGTATTTATTGCAAATCAACAGGATGTCTTTGCAAGTGCAAAAGACATATGGAAAAGTCCACTGTTATTGTTGTACTTTGTTGTGTCTCCAGATGTCTTCCCTCCTGCCCTGCTCCAGAGGCAGAAAGTGGGAAGTGAGTTTTTCATTGTTTCTAGCTGATAGTGCCAACATCTGCCTTGACGTTTCCCTGAGGAATGATATTAGCACTGCTGAGAGTTTCTGATTCATCACTTGTGTCCCATCTGCTTTTTTTTTTTTCTCCTTTTTAGATACATGATCATGTCAGAGCATGAAGTTTTAGCCCTGCTCAGTTATTTTGAGGGGTGAGAAGAAATCAAGGGAGACACTTGGGTGGCTGCTGAACTAGCAGCAGCACTTCAGAGCTGCCTTATTTTTAAAGGGCTACAAGTGAGGCATTAAAACATTGCTCTGAGCTGATGTTTTTCATTGAAAGAAATGGTATTTGTGAGCTCAAGCATACTTGAAGATCTCAAAATGCTTAAAATAGTTCTGTTTTCTTAATACATATTTAATCCATCTTTAATTCACAGTGCTTTACTCTGAGGGGAAGGGAACCAAATGAATATCTTCATTTGGAAGTGCTCTTTGCTGGTCATATATGCTCATCATAGTATTGTAAGGACTTAATTCCATAGTTAAGAACCTAACTGTTTGATAAACTTGGTAAGTGTGTAAATTAGCAAAGTTGGCCACTGTTGACTGCTAATGAAGGTGCCTTTAGTGGAAATAAAAAACAAAATAGGCTTTTTCCCCAAAGCTTCTTCTGTACTTCTTCTTATCAATAAACAGCTGTACAGTGTCAGATTATATTAATCTTCATATACTAATAAAATTTATTATATTAATGTTACTTTTTTTTAGTGATTTAATCTGACCTTTTAAATAGGAATGAGCTCTGGAGGAAGTTTGGGCTGGCATTCTCAAATGTAGACTAAGACTAGATCCTGAGCTGTGGCTGCTTTATATCAGATTGTGGTTTTTTGTTCATTCTCTTACATGAGCTGGAAGAATCTGACCAGAGCCCTTAGGTGCCAGTAGTGTAAATTTTAGCAATGTCTGTCCATGTTTAGGGAAGGGTTTTTTTTGAGAATCTGTTGAGTCCAAGAAACTGAAAATTGTGTAATATCTCACCGTTCTGCCTGCTTCTTTGTGCTTTGGCTGTTGTTTGTTTGGTGCCAGTTATTTACAGCTCACTCCTGTGTTTTTTTGAGATCCTAGCAAAAAATTCCACAGGCAGCTGCAAAATATATGTTTAATCAATTTTAGGAAGACTGATTCCCTAACTAACGTTTTTCTTCCAGCTGAGACACAGTAAAAACTGTTCCTGTAGGTATTGAGGGAAGGGGGGAAAGTTTTCCTGACAGAGATGTCTCTTTTGTGGGTTGTTGTGGTGACACAGTCACATGGTTCAGGTACTTTAGGTACCTTGGTGTCATGGTTTAACCTCAGCTGACAACAAAGCACCATGCAGGCACTCACTCCCCCTCCCAGCTGTATGGGGGGAAGAGAATTGGAAGGGTAAAAGGGAGAGAATTTGTGGGTGGAGATAAAAATAGTTTAATAGTTTAAATGCTACTACTACTTCTACTACTACTATGACTACTACTGTAAGGAAAATAAAATAGCAGAAAAAAGAGAGAACTAAAACCTAAGCATTTTTTATTAAGAAACTTATTTTTTGCCTTTTTTTAGCTTCTCAGGGTGAGCCTGTGAGAGCAGCCTTTGCCAGTTATGTTGTTTCTGTGTATGTTTATGTGCAAAAAGAGTAGAACCAGGAGTTTTAAAGCATCATTGTTCTGTAGACAAGCAATAAAATTTGTCCACCTTTCAAATGTTAGTAGTGTAAATACTGCTTAGATGAGTCATTTTATAAGGAAATAGCAGCATGTTAAAGTTTTGTCTGCAAAACGTAGAATTCTCCTGTGTGTTGGAATTGAAACTACTCATACAGATCACAAGTTTTCATAGAATTCACACAGAATTCACAGAATCACTGGATTGGAAGAGGTCTTAAAGATCAACGAGTCCAACCCATGCCCCAACACCTCAACAAAACCCTGGCACCCAGTGCCACATCCAGGCTTTGTTTAACACACCCAGGGATGGTGACTCCACCACCTCCCTGGGCAGGCCATTCCATAAATTTATCACTTTTTCCATAAAAAACCTTTCCCTGATATCCAGCCTATATTTCCCTTGACTCAGCTTGAGACTTTCAGGTCCACGAGCTGGTATTCAGGTTTATCTCTTACTTCTGTAAAAACCTAATTTGTGCACTGGAGTTTTTGTATGGCGACAGCTCCACTGCGAATTCCTTTGGGGGTAGCGAGGCCAAAAGGTTTTATCGAGGGAGAATTTCCTTCTAATTCCACTGAAATGTTCGGGGTTAGACCTCCACTTGGTTGTGTTGCTTCCCTTGTTTGCCCTGCTGTGAATGTCCTCATGGCCACGTTGTCCTTGCAGGTCAGGATCGCAGCGAAGCCACTTTGATCAAGAGGTTCAAAGGTGACGGTGTCCGCTACAAGGCCAAGCTGATCGGGATCGATGAGGTTTCTGCTGCCCGAGGGGACAAGTTATGCCAGGACTCCATGATGAAGCTCAAGGTGCAGTGAAACTTCCCAGTGTTGCAGCCAAACGGAGTGAAATTCAGCTTGAGCTTGCACTCGTTCTCCTTTCATGACACTGAGCCTTAGTCTGGTTAATTATGTATCGAAATCAGTCAATTTTGCATGAACTCCTGCCTGGTATTGCTTATCCTGGTTTAATTTTAATACATTATCTCTGAGTTCTGTAGTTACTCCATGATTGACACCGCTGCAATTTGTCCACAAATTACGAACAACACACTGCAAATTGAATAATTTTATTATGCAAAAAGGGGAAGTAAATGACTGTGGAGGAAAAATGGGATATCAGAGCATTTTCTATGACATTTCTAATCAACTACAGCACTGCCTCTGGCTGTTACATCCTGTGAGTGATGGGTCTAGGCAGCCAGATTTTGGGGGAACTGGTGTCCTCCTGGGAGGAGAATGTCTTGCACCAGCAATGGAAGGGCTGAAGTGTTGCCAAATCAGGCAGTGCACTGAGAGGATGGGGCATGAGGACATAAAGAGGAGTCCCTGGAGTTTTGGGGATGAAATGAAGCCGTGGCAAAGGAAGGTTTGGGTGTAAGGTTGGTGTGTAAACACTCTGAGGTACCAGTGGTGTCAAGGGTGGGCTCTCTGGAGCTGACAGACATTCCTCTATGGCCCAGTCTCTCTCAGAGCATGAGAGTTCCTGTAGGAATTGTTCTGTCCCTCACCCCGGGACATGTGGAAGAGCTTGAGTCACTGGGAAGGAAGGAAGGAGAGGTTGTGTTTTCCTGGAGTGCACTGTTGGCTTTTCACTTCCCATCTCCCCTCTGCATTGCAGTGTTACAAACCAGGTCTAGCAGCAAACCCTCTGCTGCTTTTTCCCTTTTATTTCCCTCCCAGCCCTCTCCCCAGCCTAGAGAGCTGATGGGTTTTCCATTGCTGGTTTTTCAGGAGGAGAAATCACTAGATGATGTCTGGTCATACCAGCCCACAGAGTTCCAGTCCACCCAGGAGCAATGAGTTACTCATTAGGGAAACATCATGGGGTGACACTCAGCTTGTGGTTCAACAAACTAAAAGCAAGATCTGGGAGATAATTTACAAATCACTTTCATGGCAGGCAAAAATTAATCTGCTCCAAAAGTTGCTCTGTTGGTGTGTCACATCTGCCACAATATTCCTGCTTGATTTAAATGTGTGCTGGGTGTTTCTCATCATTTTATAGCTCCTGGCACTATGGGGAGAGTTGTCACTGTTCTGCTGCACAAACCTTTTTGTCTCTCTCCTCTATGGATTAATATTTCCACATCTCCCAGGTGCCTAATACCTGTTTGCAGGTGGCAAGATTGATCTAAACAGTACTGGGAAATGAGTAAAAATATTAAAGGGGAGGGAATGTTAGAAATGCATTTTTGAGGGCAGAGCATTAATTTCTGGACTCTGGAAACCCAGTGTTCCATAACATGAATTTTGAGGCCACCCATAAAGTCTTGGGGTGGCTTTTGACATCAGATCCTTGTAATGGTAGCAACAAAGGTCTTAAAACCTAAGTTATTTGTTAGTGAAACATTGGAATTTCAGAGAAACAGATAAAGTCTAAATATTTAATTTCATTTAGGAGTACAACTGATTATATTTGATCTCAGTTCAGTGTTACTGGTCAGAGCAGGCTCCTGAGAAGGTGGAAACAGAAGTTAGTTTTCTAATTTTGCTGTGGGAGAGTGGATGAGATGGTATCAGCAAATTCTCTTAAAAAGTAAAGGTCTGAGCTCTGAAAAAAAATTACCCTCAATGCCAGTTTCTCACAGCATAGGTGTAGTTTGATTTTCAGAAGAATATTTTTCTTCTAAAAAAACATCAAGTTGCTTATACTAGATGAGTGTGAAGTAAGGTAAATTCATTGCCATTTTCTATCCTCCACTGCTTGTTGGGTTTTTTTCTCCTATTTAATAAACAAATAAATAAATAAATAAATAGAACAGCTTATAGCTGGAAAAAGTGTGCTAGAAATGACCTTCAGCTTCCATGAAAACAAATTTCATGGAGGATTAGCTCGTGCAGAGGTTGGAAGTGGGAGCACATTTGAAATGCTGGGTAGCATAAAGAGATGTGGTACCTGGCAAAAAAGGAGGAAGCCAGAAGTAAGGAGGGGGCTGTTCCTGGAAAACCTTTACATTTTCCTAGAAAAGTGGTGAATTGTCCACAAGTAAATCTGTGGCATGTGGGAGAGTCATGAAATCAACTAAAACTGCTCCTTGTTTCCACAGGGAATTGTTGCTGCGGCTCGATCGAAAGGAGAACATAAACAAAAAGTCTTCTTAACAGTTTCCTTTGGGGGAATCAAAATCTTTGATGAAAAGACAGGGGTAAGTGAAGTTGATTGTGTGGTGGGGCAGAGTTGAATCTTTCTCTGGTTCCTTTAGAAGCATTTCTTGGCTGGACAGAGGAATCTGGTGCAAGCACACGTGAAGCATCTCAAAAATTTCATAAAGGGTTATTGTCCCTTAGATCACTTGAGTGATCACTAGAGTGTAGCTTGTGTATTGTCAGTGATAGAAAAACTACATTTTGTATGGAATGAGAGGTAAGAGATGCTGGAAAATTTGAGGTTGTCTCTGTGAGCTATCAGCTTCCCCAGTAGCCATCTGGTGGAGGAAGTTGCAGAAGCTTTCATGCCTTATGCAGTTTCTGCCCCAGCAATACCATGTTTGATTTTTTTTAAATTGCTGTAAAAGAAGAAACCTAAGCAAAACATTACACTACTTCAGTATAAAGCAACAACACACAAACTGTTTTAATCATAATTAAGAAGATTTTTACAGCAGTTTAAGCTCTGCCTTGAATTTTAAAAAGCTCTTGATTTAATCTTTTGGAAGATTAACTATTTAACACGGTGCCAGAAATAAAACCCTACTGATGATAGATGAAATTATCTTTGCCAGTTAATTTATATTATTAGAAAATCAATGTCATTGAGCTCACTGATACATAATACGAGTAGTTAGTAATGAAAAGCTCATTTGGGATGTGTTGTGTAAAGTATCCATGCAAAAGCTGTGTTTCAGAGGGCATTGCTGGGGTTACAGAAAATAGGAAATGTCAGAATTAGGGCTGTCAGTGCAAATTGCACCCCAGCCACAGTTGCTTTCCTGAGATTAAAGCCTTTTATTGGGGAGATAAAAAAGAGGAAAGAGAAAGTCTATTCCTTTTGCACTTGTCTCTGAATGTTTCTCAAACACTGGAATTTTTTACCTAGAATAAAGAGGGAAAAGAGGACATGCCTTAGAAACAAAGGTGTGCTTTATTCCAGCTGCCTCTCCTGCAGCATCCTTCACACTCTCCTGCCTGCAGAAAGTGAGGTGGGGACATGGGAGCAGTCTCCTTCATTTCACAGCTCTGACATCCCATACTCTAAATCTGACATAACTATATCATCCTTACAGCAAACCTGTCACTCACCCACTGGGGCTTAGAATGAAACCCTTAAATCCAGCTTGCAGATGTCTGCCCCTGAGCTGCCCGAGTGATGGACAGGACTATTGAGTTGTCCTTCTTGCAGCAGGGCTGTCACAGAGGCATGTGGGGAGCTTTCCACAGCAGTTTGTACATGCTGTTGTCAAAACAGGAGAGTCCTGCTTCCCATGCCAAGGCTTTGGGGCAGAGGTGCATGGAATCCTCTGCCAGGTCTTCACAGCCACCATCCCTTGGGCTTTTTTCCCACCTTGGGTTTCTCCTTTCACAAAAGTTTCACACCCTTGCCCCATTCATTCTTAGTCTTTCTCATCCAGCCTGTCTCTGCTTTGCCAGCCTACAGTTGTCATCTCATTCCCATTGCTGCTGGAAAATCCCAAAATCTGGCAAAAGTAGGGCTTGTACGGCTGCTGTGCCCAGGTTTTTGGATGGGAAGAAGCTGTGAAGAGCTGGAAAAAGATTCTATTTCACTCACACTTTTCTTCTAATTTCCATGTTAAACTTCAGAGTTTATGAAGTTTGGAGTTTGGTATTGACTTTTATGCAGCAGGGAAAAAAGCAGTCCTAATAAGGAAGAGTCTGGATAATATTGCCTTTTTATTTTCTCCTCCTTTAACAACCCTGTCTGTCCCTCCCAATGCTTTTTCCTTTAGCTGTATTTCCATGATTTTGGAATTCCCAAAAGGGTATTTTGGAAAGATTATTTACCTCTCTAGAGTGTCTTTTCTTAACTTCTTCCATTGTCTATTGCTGTCACGTCTGCCCCAGCGCCAGTCCCATATGATAGAAAAGAATAAAAATACTCAGAAAAAAAAAGTGGGCTTCTTCATGTTGAGTATCTTGTAGGCTGCCATTGGATTTTAATTTATCACAATAAAAAATCAATTTGTAGCTCAAAACTAGCAAATTTTTTTTCAAATTGGCAGTGTCATAGCTGACTTCATACAGATGATTTAGGGGAATTGCTCCATAATTCGTTACAGATGAAGGGCTCTGGTTGGGTTACTGAAAATGATAAGCAGTTTTTTTTTCTTCCTCTACTGTATAGCTCTCCTTAATATGTTCCAGACATAATATTAATCAAAAAGTATTGATTTTAATAATGGTATTATTCCAGCCATCAGGAATTCTGCCCTTTGAGTAAATTTATCCATGAAGGATATTGAGTTGAAGGTAGAATATAATTTGGAAAGAATATGTCTCACCAAGAAAAAGACAAGGATTTTACTGTGAGTTTGCACTGTAGATGCAGTACAATCTACAGCACTGCAATAGAAATAATAACAGTCCTTTCTTATATTCCATCATTCCATGCCAGGGATTACACTAAAGAGGTCCCTTCATTCCACTTTCCAAGTACTTGTCAGTGTATTTAGAACATGATAGCAAAAAATTGTATTTAATATGACTAACAGGATGTTCTCCTGTTGTGTCTATGCCAAAAATTGTCATTACACATGGGGTTTGAGACCCTATTAATCTTATAAATGCACCTTTTTTTTCAGCTGTCAGATGTTTTCCATCCATCACATTTGCTTTCTCCAGATTATGTTTGCAAAATAAATACCTTACCTGAAGGATATACATTTTCTTTTGGTTTTTAGTATAAAAAAACCTACCATAATTATTTCTGTACACAAGATTTTCTCTACCCAATGCCACTTTAGAGATTTCCTTGCTGCATATTACGAGAAAATATTTTTTTTACCATTTATTCTGCCATATCCATCTTGGTTAGACCTCAATACTGCAATATATTCTTAATTTATTTTATGGGAGTTCTTTTATATTTTCAAAGGCATGATCTTCAGATGGCAAAACCACAAATAATTGCATTGTGTTATTTAATATTCTCCCTTCCTGCGTGGAATGCAGTGATTGGTGATTTGCTAAGAAAACAACCGAAGCCATGACTGCATGTGGAAGGAAATGTAGATTTTGTGGAGGCCCAGCATTGCTGGTTAGCTGTTCCTGAGTGTTGTTTTGTTAATCACACACATCAGCCCATCTCCCTGTGCTAGCTCAGTGATGCTTCATTAGACCTGCGTGACTAATCTGGGCTCTGTAAAGAGCCTGTAATTGTCTCATTGTTTATTTATGTGGCCATAAATCTCTGTTTACTTGCAGGTTCCTTTCCAAAAATGTATTTGAAACTAATGATTAAATCCTCTGAAATGCTTGGGAAAAGATTTCCTTCCACCTCCATGCAGTGTGGTTGTTGTCTCTAATTGCAAAATGCAGTCAACTTCAATGGCAAGCCCCTAAACTATGAAAAAGAAATGAGATAAAAGCAAGAAATTACTATTTGGCTTTAAGCAACAAATTATTTCTGTTAAAGTAAAATTTTGTATCAGCTCGTGGATGTGCAGATTGCCAGAATATGCTGTAAAATATAGCTCTCTGTGAGGTATTGTTTAGCTGAATTATTTATCTGGATTCCTCCACTGGCCAAAAAGCAGGGTAAATCAGTATTAAGTATCTTGCTTATTTATGGGAAATACCCTAAACAGATGGATTGTAACCCGGTTGATGAAGATGACAGCCATCTCACCAATTTTTACCTGTTTTGTAGCACCCTGAAACTGAGTTTCAGTTGCATTGCCTGTTCTCTTTCAGAGATGTTGGCCCCTATCCTTATTGAAATAAAGCTCTTGGGCCCAGTCTGTGGGATTGTAACATTTCTAGGAGTGCTCTGGTGGGGTTTTGGTATTTATTGCACAGAAGTATTGCAGTGTGTTACTCACATTTCATGAATTTGATGTGTAACCATTTTCTTCAGGCTGGCAGTGTGAAACCCAGGAAGAAAAACCGTGTGTATAAATACATTTATTTCATTTTGACTTTCTGTTCTTGTTACCTATCAGTTCCCCCAGCCTTAATTATCTTTGCTGAGGATTTTATTTTATTTTGTTATCTTTGAGGGTTTACCTGCATGAAGTGGTGTGCCCTATTCCATGTAAGGGCAACCAGACATTACCTGCAGCATTCTATTAAAAAAAATTAATTTGTTTCCTCACGCTGACCATAGAAGTAGTGATGGTGCTTCTGCTTTAAATCTTCATGACTTCCAAATAAATAATATTTATTTGGGTGGTTTGGTGGTTATAATTCTGTTGTCCCCAGGGTGTTCTGTTTAACTGAGGTCATGTTATGGCTCTGAAAAGTTCCAACCAATGTTTTGGATGCTAATATCTTGCCCATCTTCCTGTACTTCTAAGCTTGACCTTACAGTGCAGATTTCTCAAGTTGCTTCTATAAAAGCATTTTCCAGCATGTTCTGAGGCTTTATCAGGTTTGTGCTGATAACCCCTGGATTTGCTGCTCTTCCCTATGCAATGTGAGTGATGGTGTTAATTATGCTGATAGATTGCTAACAGGACAGCTAAACTTGGCTGAAAGAGAATTTTAGCAAGATTAAAATTCTCACTGTTGGCAGAAGAGGCCTCGTTTAAAATGTACCAAAGGTACCTCTTGACTTTGCTGGAAATCTGTTGGATCTGGCATCCCTGACCAGAAATCGAGGTACCATCATGGATCTGCAGTTATTCCTTAAAGCACATGTGCTGGAGCAGATGAAATGTCAAACTGTCAGAGTTTCTTTCACTGAGCGTCTCTGAGGCTTTAAAAATAGAAATAAAAAGAAGGAATTAATTTATTCTGCTCTCTCCTCGCTCCGCAGTGAGCGGGAGAGATGGGGTGAGGAGTTCTCTGAGTTTGGTGTTTGCCAGAGGGTGGGATTGACCAGGAGGATGCTGATGGTCCCTGCCATGATGGGTTTTGTCCCCTTTGTGTTTTTGGAACTTCCCAAAGTTCCTCTCTCTGGCTGATCTCAGGTGCAACCCTCTGTGAGCATCTTACCCCATCAGCTGATTCCACACAAAGTCCTCTCACCTCA